TTGGGAGATTCATGAGTCATATAGAGAGAAGGAGGCACCCTGAAAATTACATCAAGTACTTTGTTGAAGATCTTGAGACTGCAGTATTGGATTTCTTTGAAAGGTGTGCAGTTTCACAGCATTCAAGGAGAAGATCACAAATGAAGAGCTAAGAATCTCCATTTCTGATCTACAAAATCCACGAACCCAAATGAAGAAATCGGATTCAAGAAATACCCAAATGAAAAACTAAGGTAAACATTAAATCGATTGGAATGGGGCGATTTGCTCTCAGGTGAAGATTCGGGAAAAGGGGTTTTGGTGTTGGGGTCGGGGTGATTAACGAGATGAGGAATTATGGGTTGTATTGGATTTTGATGGTTGAGTAAAGCTCTAATGGTGGTTCCATTGAAGGGTTTGTGTAGAATCTTGTAAAAAATTGAGATATTTTTCATTTTTGTTGTTCTCTATCTGTGATAGCAGCGATGACCTGGACTTCTTTAATCTAGATGGCAATGACGTGGAATTGGTAAAGTGCAAGGTAGGATGAGTGTCATCGGGTGACCCCTTTAAATTTTCAAAAATGACCTTTTAAAACATAAAAACATAAGTACATGCCCCTCAAATGCAAAAAAATAGTTATGAGGGACCATTTAAACCAATATACTAAAGTTTGTTGGGCTGTAGTGACAATAACCCTTGTACTATATATGGGAGGTTATGTATAAGTAAGGTGGGTCAAAGGATCTACATAACTTTTTAATTTATCTAAGATTTTTATAGAAAAGTTTTAATGTCATATCTTTAAAAAAAATTAGGATTTATCTTACCCTTTAAATCTATGAATTTGTGTAGAAATATTTCTTTAGAAAAATTAATGAACCACGTAGTTTTATATTCTAGACTCGATTATCACACCTACATGTCTCATATCCTTTGTTTGTCCTTATAATTTTGGCATTCTTCTTGAATTGAGCTTGGATGAGTGCAACAAATGTTTTAATAAACAATCATGCATAACTTTTATATGTTAATAAATGAACCCATGTGTGTCGACTGAAGTTACCGACTATCGTGATGGAAAACTTATATCCATGTTTGTAAGGTTTCCAAACATCCACATGTATCAAATCAAAATGTTCTTTGGAAAATGAAAGACTTTTTGAAAAAGGGTAGTTGATGTTGTTTAGCTTGAGAATACACAACACACATATCAATAGAAGTATTATGATAATAGGAACGAATGAAAGAAAGAGTTCGAAGTTTATTCAATGGTATATGTCAAAGACGTCTATGCCATAACAATGTATGTGAATTAGAACTTGATGCAAATGAATCCACACTTGTACGTGATTTGAATTCAGAAAAACTAAAAGACAAGTTTAATTTAATAGAACATTGATAAAAAAAACATATAAATCACTGACTCTTACACCAAGGACACCAAATGCAAGTTTATATTTCAATGAAGGGTCCTTCATTATATAAGCCTTATCGGTAAACAGATTTGAAACTGAGATGTGAGTTTGGCAATTGAAACCAGATTGTACTTGAAACATGGGACATATAATACTCCATGAAAAGTGACATAATCATGTAGTTCGAACATCTCCAATGAAAGAAATGAAGGTGTCATGGCCCTTAAAGACTTATGAAATGAAGCTGATCAAGCTTAGTCGATGACACGAAAAAGAGACTTGTTGCGATGCCTTAGACAATGTAAAGATCATCCCAAATTTTAATTAATTTGGTGAAATATGAAGAAAATTTATCAGATCCATGAGAAACAAACTGTAATTGTTGATGTATTTGATAGATCAAAGAACCAACATGTTGTTCATAGTGATGATTTAATTCAGTCTAGATCTTATGTGTTGTTTTGAGAGAAAAGAACACTCTCTACTATCTTCTTAGTAAGAGAATTCATAATCCAGTTTATGACCATAGAATTAGCACAATATCAATTAGAATAAGAAGATGATGTTACAGATGGTTGAATGATGGTTCCACCTACAAAACCGAGTTTGTTTTTAGAAATAATAGCATTCTATTTCCTATTTGAGAAAAATTGTAACTATATACAATCACCGGTCATTATTTTTTTTTTAAAAAAATATACAACTATAGAGTGAGCGAATTTGAAGCTTCCTTAATATGTACACAAAACTCTACAAAATAAAATACTTACAACATCCCTCTACAAATCTTTACCATTATCGTGTCGGGTCAAGCTACATGTACATGATCTGCACGCAAAATACAAGCCCAACTATTAGTGTTAGTGACAGTGACAATAATGCCAATGATAATGACAGTGACAATGACAGCTGAGAAGTCATACCATGTGAAATCAAATACCAAATGAACGAACCGTAAGCAACATTCAAAACACAAACCACAAAATCAATCATGAATCCATCAACTTGAGACACGAAAAACTCTATCAAAACACATCCGTTGATAGCAATCACAATCCAAACTACAAACCATACCACCCTCTACAAACACAAATTAACCAATAACCAAAAGATCACAAAATTAAACTTTCTTAAAAAAAGAAAAATAAATTCATACCTCCATGGATGGTTTAATCCTAAATGCTCCCATGATCCGCTCACATGACACCAATCGAACAAGTGGAATAACAGCAAAAGGAATCTGCATCCCTTGAAGCACATTAATCCATTGATTAAGAACATCTAACGAATCTTCTGATCGATTAAAGTAAATTGCTACAATAATTGTTGGCACAATTGCACAACTCCTTGTGATCAAAGTTCTTAGCCATTTTCTCATGTCAAGATCAAGAAACCCACCCATGATGAACTGCCCGGCATAGGTGCCCGTTAACGTGCTACTCTGCCCAGCTGCTAAAAGCCCGATTCCCCAAATGTAAAAGATTGGGAAAAGGTCATTGCCATATTTTTGTTCAAGATAATACCCTGCGTTCAATAAGCCTATAGTGTTGGCCTCTTTTGTGTTGTAAAAAGCCTTAGAAAAAATGGTGGTGACAAACATGTTGATCATGAAGGTCACGAAAATGGCAAGTGATGATTCTATGGTGTAGTAATACAAAGCTTCTTGGACTTGACCCTTTTTTTTGGGGTCAATTTCTTGATTGTACGACTGCAGAATATAAGAAGACATTGTGAGGTGTTATTATGCCACCGAGTAATCCTACAGCTTTCCGAATCGTTTTTGACCCAACTCTTGGAATTAAAAGACCTGCATATTGTAATTGGTTTTCAGTCAAACAACTTATCGTACACTTTGGGCTACAAACAAACCGAACTGTACAAATATATGGGTTACAACATGGAGTTCGCTCAATTAGAAAAGGTGGATTTTGATAAAAAGAAAAGATGTTTTTTATTGTGATTTAGATTGTATGCAAACAATTTTAGTTTGATTTTTGATATTATATTAGCTGGGTCGATTTGTTTGTAGCCTTCTTTGTGACGAAAGGAGGCGATGTAACCTATGAGTAGTTCTTTTCCGCTAGGACTGGTGTCAACAAACATCCATGCAAATGAGAGTGCCATTATTGTAATAAAAGAAGCAAAAAGAGCTTCCAGTTTCCTCACTCCGTAGCTCTCAAGGAACAAGAAAATGAAACTGATCATGATGGAGCAACAGAAACACAGTTAAAACTTAACAGAACTACCAAAATAATCTTTGAAAGACTGAAGAGCAATAAATGATAATAGCAATATCAATTCCACCCTGCAATGATGCAGTATCAGTAAATTGAGTATCTCATGGCTTAAAGAAATAGAAATCTTACCAATCAGAAGCTGTTATCAAGACACCAGCCCAAAGTGGAACAGCCCCATTGCTTAATAGCTTAATGGCAATGGCACTCCCAATCACCTCCTGAATGTCAGCTGTAATCAACGCTATCTCGGCCATAAACCATAGAACCAGAATCGCCCAATAAGGGTACTCATCCCTGCAAATCTCCGCCATGTGCCGCCCCGTCACCACCCCAAGCCTGGCGGACAACAGCTGGATCAAAAGCCCCATCACGGCGGACCATAAAAGCAACCACAACAAAGAGTACCCGGAGACAGCACCGGTTTGCAGATCCCCCTCTAGGTTTCCCGGATCAAGAAACGCTGTGCTCATTAAAAATCCGGGACCGGTGAATTTCCATAGCTTCTTCCAGGAGAACGGTGGTAGTGGTGGCAATGCCGTGTGATTTGTCACTGGGGATGTTTCAATATCAGGGTGCAAGAGGTGGCTGCCGTGTCGATATGAAAGTTGATCTGGTTCGTCATCGGATAATAAGAGACGGTCGATTTCTTGATCAACGTTAATGTTATCTGCGTCATAAATATCGTCGTCTTCATCTTGTTTCAAAGGTGGTGGATTTCCCATCGAAGAAAGCTTCCAGATTATCCTTTCTCGCCGAATCTAACGAATTCGCATTGGCAGTCCAAAATTCGATCCATAGAAGGCAAACTATAGTACTATACTATGAGATTAGTATTAATTTTTTTAAATATTAGTTGTTACAGTTGCTTCAAAAAAAATATAAAAAAGGATATTTTCATAAAATATTTTTACAACTTTTAGTAAATATTTTTCAAACTACATCATTGTTTTAAATATTTTTTATAACTACAATCACAACTGATAAAAAAACTCAAACAAAAGAACGGAAGCATTTGATTGTTTTAATTAGAAGCGTAAAATAATTCTCTTTTTAAACCCTCTAAATTTAATATTTCGTCGGAATATTTTCTAACAATTAGATTGGATTTTGGTCAGCCATTCTTTTTTTACCTCAAAAAAAGTCAAAGGCTGGGGATGAAAGTCAAGTTCCATTCACCCAGGTGTCTGAATACTTCTTTTTCATTCTTTCATTTCTGTTTCTTTTTTATGGTTTAGGGTTTCTTCCAAACCTACGTCCCTGGTCACCTTACAAAACATGCATGCATGCATATATATACACCATCCCCATTCAAATTTTCTCTCCATTCCGATGATCATCAGCAATCGAACATCATCCAACAATTTCAATGGCTACAAGGCTCCACTTTTTCACCCTTGTTGTTGTACTTCTCATCACGTTAATCTTCATCGGAGTAGTTCCTCAAACCAATGCTGCGAGGGTTTCTAAATATATGATCAAAGATTTTGAAAAAGAAAATCGCAACGTTTCCAACGCTGTGCCCGATGGGTCAATAAAGAGGACACGTCCGGAGCCACGATCGCTGGAAGAAAAGGATATCAAGAACCCTAGGCCTGGCTCACGTCCACAGAGACCGCTACATAGGGGAATTAAAAACTCTGTTCGAAGTAGTCCAAAAACCGAAGGTGGTCCTGAAGACATGAGAGCTAACCCTAACCCAAGGGTAATGGGACATGGTACATACAGGGTCTGGAGGTCCCAACCAAGTGGAATGGGGGAAGAAGAAAATATGGAAGGCAGGGAAGTCATTATTCCAAAATCGCAACGTCGTCATCCATAGATGTAATTAATGAAGAAGGAGATCAGGGAAGTCATTATTCATAAACGATCGATAATTAGTAGTATGCAATCATCAGTTACCTTGTTTTGTAGTGACAATTTAATGAGTAAATTATAGCTTATAAATTGAACCAAATTCGACTCTTATAGTTTTGTCCACATTACGATGCACATATATAAGGCGATTGAAATATTGTGTTGCTGAAAAGATGATCAAATAAACTTAAACGATTGAGGTTACCCACGCTACTAGAAAACTGGGGCAATAGCTATGTCACAATTTGTAGTTATTTAGTAGGTATAAGGCGATACCTATGGATTTGTTACGGAAAAATGGTTGTAGCATAAACGTCCGTAAGAAATTTATACCTACATATTTGCTACGGAATATCTACGGCCTATTTCGTAGGTATAATACCTACAGATTAGCTACGTAAACGAATTGTTACGGAATGCCTACAGATTGACGACTGGTGTGAAGTTTGACTAGAATTGACTATTTTCCTACGGAATAGCTATGGAAAGACATGGCTGCGGATTTCCTATGGATTACCCACGCGAGTCGAGTTTGACCAAAATTGACTTTTTTTCCTATGGAATAGTTACAGAACTGTTTATCTACGGATTTCCTACGAATTAACGACGAAATTCAAGTTTGACTAAAATTGACTTTTTTCCTATGGATTACCTACAGACCTATTTAGCGATGGATATTTCGTTAGAAATCCATCACTAAATTAGTAAAAAAAAAGAGTAAATTACACGAACGGTCCCTATGGTTTAGGGTAATTTGCGCGTTTGGTCCCTAACTTATTTTTTAACTCGGAAGGTCCCTACTGTTTGTTTTTATTACACGCTTGGTCCATGTCTTACCTAAAAAAACTATTTAGCCCTTCATTTTTTAAAATATTTAAATAAACACACCCCAACCCCTCTCACCTTACCTTACCTATCCTATAATTTTTTACTATTTAAATAATAGTCTTTTTAGGTAAGACAGGGACCAATCGCGTAACAAAAACAAATAGTAGGGACCAAGCGCGTAATAAAAACAAACAGTAGGGACTTTCCGATTAAAAAAAATAAATTAGGGACCAAACACGCAAATTACCCCAAACCATCGGGACCATTCGTGTAATTTACTCAAAAAAAAATTCAGTTTTTTCTGCTTAAAATGCACAAAAAAAAACCCAATACGTTAAATTTATAAGAAAAATTCTTATTCAACCACAAAAATAATAAGCATTACAATATATGTTTTTGGTTATAGCATTATAATTTGCATTTACTCAATTTATTTCATAAAAGTAACTTAAATACAAACCGATACAATTCATACAAATACAATACATTTGAATGTATTATCCTACTTTGTACAAGATATTACTTGTACTTAGTTTATATAAAAAAATCATAAAAATAGATGTCCACTTACACGAGCAAATCTATACGTAAGTATAACTTTTTATAGCTCTTAAACCCTTGGATGAAGGCCTGTAAAAAAATCTCATATTCAATACATGAGTTAATTACAAAATAAAGGAAATGAAAAAAAAAACAAAAAATTATAAAGAATAGCAACGTACTTTACTCCCGTTGCCAATTTGGGTAATATACGTTAATTTTTCCCATTAGAGCTACATACTTATGTATTTGACCAACAATTGCATTGCTTTCAATAATTTTTTTATAGAATCCTAACTACATTTCTTTTAAAGATAGAAGTTACTAGTCAAGTTGTTTTCAATCCTTTATAGCATCATACTTTAATTTCTTTATATTGCACTACAACATATATGGCATGCATTTGATTATCAAGACATTAAGATTACATGTTCACAATTTGAAAACAAAGTGGTTTAAAAACTAATATCTTAAAAAGAGTACCTAAATGGAAACCAAAAGTTGGATGTTATACAAAAAAAAAACGTAAAATTATAAATTTGTTGCTATTTCGTAGTTATTCTGTAGTTATTCTCTTCTGTCAGTAGTCTGTAGCTATTCTGTAGCTAATTACCTACATAATACCTATGGAATTACTTATGTCACTATTTTGTAGCTAATTACCAACAAAATACCTACGGATTTATGTCATTCGCTATTCAGTAGATATTCTGTTACTAAATTAGGGCATCCCATTCCGTAGGTATTATGTAGGTAATTGCCTACATAAATTTTCTATAACTATTTTCTGTAGCAAAACTCCTTGTTTTCTAGAAGTGCCAGCACCAGGAGAACGTCTCTTCCAAAAGATAATCTGATCCATCTTGAATAAACAAAAGCTGCCAACACATTTTGACGAACATATATAATGTTTTTTCTTTAGTATGACACAATTTGAGATACATATATATTAATATTATCCACATTCCTTTTTCATCTAAACATTGTATAGGCCATCATCTGCCTATCCACAGTCCACACAATCTTCCACTTATACTAAAGGAAATAATATTTTCCATTATATTTAGTAGATAATTGTTTCCTTGTATTTATCATTCTTATTCTTAGCCTAACAAACTCCAGCTGTAATTGAGATCTATTTATATCCCTCTTCCTTCGTTCAATGAAAGTAACGTGACAAAAGTTGTTTTCTTTTTGTTCTTGGTTTTATGGATGGTATCAGAGCAGGATATTGCATCTTGTTAAACAATGATGGGAAACCTCCCACCGGGTGGCTCCGGTACCAACACCAACCTGTCATCTGATCCTAATTCGCCCTTTTACATCCATCCCACTGATTACCCACGACAGGTACATGTCAACAAAAACCTTGGTGGCAACAATTATGTCAACTGGTCCAGAGAGATGAAGGATTTTCTTTTGGCCAAAAACAAAGTCGGCTTCATTGATGGAACCCTAGCAAAACCGACAGAAGAAATGAGTGAGTATAGAGCTTGGCAACGAAGCAATGCCCTGATAAAGGGTTGGCTTACTGCAACCATGGAGAAAGACATTCGAAACAGTGTCAAATATGCTACAACCGCAAAAGGAGATCTTGGATGATCTTGAAGAAAGATTTGTAAAGGAGAGTGCACCCCGTGCTTACGAATTAAAGCGTGCACTAACAACACTAAGACAAGACATTGATTCTGTTTCCATGTATTTCACAAAGATGAGGGAAATCTGGGATGAAATCATATCTGCTTCACCAACATCAACTTGTACCTGTGGCAAGTGCACTTACGACATCGGAAAAAGATTAACAGAATCTAAAGACAAAGAATGGGATTATGAGTTTCGGATGGATCTCGAAGACACCTTTGGAACAATAAAAACGTAGATCCTTAGCATCAAACCTATGCCATCACTTGGAACCGTCTATCACCTGGTCTCAGAAGATGAACAACAACGAAACATATCTGTAGCAAGAAAAGTCAATGTAGATACTACAGCATATCAGATACATGCTCAGAGCATCGTTGATAAGAACCAGTTTGAAAAAAAGAACACTAGTAAAGAGGGAATGAAGTGAAAGCATTGTTGGAAGAATGGACACACTATTGATGGCTGCTTTGAGAAGATTGGATATCCGGATTGGTGGGATACACGTCGCAAAACTGTTCCTGATCAGAAAAGGCCAAATCATCCCAAACCAAAGGTAGCAAACATTGAGGTGGAATCCAGCCCCATGCTAGGCTTTAGCGTGGAACAGTACAAGAAGCTAATGCATCAGTTGAATGATGTGCAGAAACCTGAAATCAACATGGCAAGTAATTTAGATTTTCGGTTGCCTTGGGTAATCGATTCAGGGGAAAAAGAACATGTTGCATGTCAAAAGTCGAATTTCACTAACCTAACACACCCAAAGGGTGGAATTCCATTTAGCATTCCAAATGGTGATAAAGTCACTGTTCAAGGAATCGGAGAAGTTCAATTACCCATGTAACGCCCCAAAATTTAACCCAAAATTTTTAATTAAAATTTGAAGTGTTTATTCAAACCACTACTACAAAATCTTAAATGAGACCATTTAATCTTAATACATTTATCAGAGTATCATCAAAAGTTATCATGTGCACAAGTCTCCCATGGATGCGATGCAATCGAGTCGTGCCCCTCATTTATTATAAGAAAACCTGAAACATTTAATCCACAAATCGTAAGCACAAAACTTAGTGAGTTACCAAAATACCACACATGACACATCACAAATAAACAACTATGGGTTATCAGCAACCTTGGAGACTACCTGAAGTCTCAGTGGGCAACAATACGCCCCATGGGTTATCAGCGACCCTGGAGACTACCCGAAGTCTCAGTGGGAAAATAGCACGCCCTGTGGGTTATCAGTAACGCTGAAGACTACTCAAGGTCTCAACATACACAGTATCACATATAATAATAATAATAAATAAGACCCAACTGGTCAGCACGTATATACACAGACAATCGTGCAAGAGTCACAAAGACAGCAAGCATCCTACATACACAAGTTAGTGGGCCGACATTGGTGCCTTCGACCTACAAGCACAGTGAGAAAACTCACTTGAATCAAAGAACTCCAAAACACTACAATATGATCCATTTTCTGCACTGCTTGCACCCACAAATCCACTAACACCAGGTCCTAATAAAATCTTAATTAATAGCCTAAAATCCTCAAGTTTGACCAACGATCAGGACCCCATACGAGTACGCGCAATGTACTCAAAGGTACGCCCAACATACTCGGTTAGATGACACTTTTGTTGGATTAGGTGTCTAAGCCCATAACTATAATTGGTATGTACTTGAATTGATAGCAGCACAGTCCTTTTGGGTTGCCCTCAACCTAGCAACTGGACAAGGAAATTATGAAAGGAGAGATATTAATTTATAAGATTAATAAATTAATATATATATATATAAATGATTTATTAATATGTTAATGGATTAATATATTAATTAGAAATCATTATGTTTAATTAATTGTTAGCCAGAAATTAATCAGAATTGATTTTGGGGTTAAAAGAATTAATTATAAGGTGCAGGGACTAGTTTGCAATTATCTAATAGTTG